AATTTGAGGCGTTGAATCTCATTTTAACGAGTGAAAGAATTTTTATTGATTTACTACGAGCGCTCGACTGTCAACAAGTGCAGAATAATAAAGACATTAATACTAATAATATCAAACTCCACGACTGGAGTAATAACATAATAATTCGTGAGTGGAATAGTTTATTGGATCCATCAATGGAATTTCGTTGTTTTGTTTATCAATCCAAGTTAACCGCAATATCACAATACAATCATTATTGTAAATTCTATCAGCTGCAAAACGATTTAACTATTCAACAAATAAAAATTACAATTATTGAATATTGGGAACAAAACGTTAAACCACTTTTAGATCCGTTTAAAGAGGAATATTGTAATTATATAATTGATTTGGGATTAATTGAAAATAAATTATCTAATGAACTAGAATGTATCGTTATTGAATTAAATCCGTTTGCTCAAAGTACTGGTGCAAGTTTATTTGATTGGAAAACAGATGTTAATCAATTAACCGGACAATTAAATGAAATCGAAATACGCGTACGATCAGATTATTTACCAAATATTGATGAATATACCAAGTTTATTTTCGAACAAAGTCAGTTAAGTACAAAAGATAATTTATTATTGGGTGATGATGACCAGGAACCTTATTTTACCTTACTAAATAATATACACACACAACTTACTTCATAATCAGTATTTTTACTATTAACAAAATGTACCGTGTTACAGGCCTTGTGGCCTTCACATGTTCCCTATATGTACACGTCACTCTTCTCTCCTTTATCTTTTCGCTATACCAGTAGCTTATCACGTTTATCTATTTCGTTTTCATTTTATGATCTCTTTTCGTCTATTTCTGGTGCATTTTCTTGATTTTTCTCGTATTTAAATAATAATGGACTGAGCCAATGGTATATAGAGTTTGTTTACCCAGAATATTGTACAGCTTTCCAAGAGCTATTTTTCTATGCTAAAGACTAGCCCCTTCAATTCTCCACAAAATGAGATGTTGACCACATTTGTACGATGTTGCGTCAGAATGCCACAGAAAATACGATACAGATCGAAACTTCCGCATTAAAGCGAATGAGTTTATATTAGTAATGTTAAACAGCCTATAACTCGGTCGTCCGAGATCGTAGTCAAGATCTCATTTTGTGAAGAACTGAAGAAGCTATCCAGTCCCTATCCGCCGTTGCCAAAAACATCACACTCCAGTAGTAATACCCAAAAAAGTGTGTTCTTTTTTGGATACTACTACTGGAGTGTGATGTTTTCGGTTGTTATCTTCTAACCGGAAATGAGTTACCCACCGTTTTGTAGAGTTTTCAAAGAGCTTTCTTTTGATCTATAATGTAGACCGCAACCTAGGTACTCTCATAGTAATTATGGAAACCTTCTTTGTAATATTATGACTCATCGCTGCTTGTTGCTGGTAAGGTTAAGCACATTCATAATCGGAGCGGTATTTATTTTTTCGATTTTATTGCATAGGTAGATGCGGCGTATCGAGCTCAATCTAGCCATGTAAAACTTTTTCAGAAAAAGTTATTTTTTGCCGTCGAAACAGGCAAAAAACCGAAAAAACTTAGAAAAGGAGCGTGTTACAGGAAAATGCCTGGGGTTTTTTCACGTTCTGACGTACTTCTATTGAAGGTTCCTCGAATCCACGTCAAAAACTGATTTAGGAAACGTTTCTTCAAATTCTTTTGAATGAGTTTTTGACTCGAAAAATCGAGGCGAACCCGAGGAGAAAAACGGACCTGCTGGGCGCTCAAAAATTAATAAGTCGTTTTTGAAATAACAGAGTGGCGATATATTTAGATGAAAATGTTCATTAAATAGTCCTGAAAATTCTTGTTACGAGTAAAAATAGTTTTCTTTGTTAACCCTGAAAAGTAAAAGGTAAAGCAGTAACAAAAATTTGTTATTTTTTCCGGAAAACTAACAAATAAAACTAGTGACACGTCTACACCTAACATCTTGTCTACTACCGAAAGGTTTTAC